AAGCCCGAGAATATGCTTTTGGATCAGTTTGGGTTCGCAAAGCTCACAGACTTTGGATTCGCTAAACGTCTGTTACCGCCCGGGCGTAAGACTTGGACTTTCTGTGGAACGTATGTTTACATCACTTGTTATAAGTAGTAAATCACTAATTGAGCGCTTGATTTAGGCCCGAATACGTGGCGCCGGAAATCATTTTAAATCGTGGGCACGACTATTCAGGTAATTATAAGTCAACCAATTGTTTTACCACTAATAGACTGAAACATATTTTTGTATGTGTTTTGCAGCCGATTATTGGTCGTTAGGAGTGCTAATGTTTGAATTGCTTACCGGAACGTAAGTATACCAATATTTTGTTACCACATTGGTTTTAATGTGCAGTTTATGTCCACACTTTGCAGCCCTCCGTTCACGGGATCGGATCCAATGAAGACATATAACATAATCCTGAAGGGTATCGACGCCATTGACTTCCCGCGCACTGTCTCTCGTAACTCAACGAACCTCATAAAGAAGTTGTGTCGCGACAATCCCGCGGAGAGACTCGGCTATCAGAAGGGAGGCATCGAAGACATTAAAAAACACAAGTAATACAAATTGGTTGAATTTGTGGTGTGTTTTGTGATAACCAATTCATTTCTATACTAACAGATGGTTTGACGGTTTCTATTGGGAAGGACTCAAAAACCGTACTCTCAGTCCGCCAATAGTGCCACTCGTATGTGAACACAGAAGCAGAAATGCAATTGTAATTGTCATCTCATATCTCTTTATTGTTACGATTAGATCCGAAGTGCAATCGATAACTCAAACTTCGATCAATACCCGCCCGACACAGAGGGAGAGCCGGTGGAGGACATGACGGGTTGGGACGAAGACTTTTAAGTTTATTTTATAACTAATGAGATATTAATTTAGACTTTTATTTGAAACAAAAAATATATTGAGTTTTTGGACATTTATTTTTTCTCTTTTGTTATATTAATAATTGTTAGAAAGTTAGAGACCTTTTATTTTAGAAGAAATTTATTCATAATTATATGTAAATAATTTATTCATACGAAACGCATAATAAAGTTTGAGTCAACGCCTGTTTTTTGGACATATTTTTAGATTTTATTTCAAAATGTTATATGAAATTAAGGATTGAAATAAAAACTTTATATTAAAGCCAAAAAGTGTAACTGTATTTCATTTCTCTATTACTGACTACTCTAAGGATATCTAATCGATGGACACAATCTTGAAATATACAAACTTGTGATTAAAAATATACTCAAAATCACACGAAATTACTTCAATTTGTTGCACAATAAGACAAATTAGTGCTGTATTTAGTATCTCATAGTTTCTTGTGAGGGGGAGGGAGGGGGGAGAGAGAGAGAGAGAGAGAGAGAACAGGTGCGTGATTTATATACCGTAAAATCGTGGCTATTACCCGCGGGTTATCTGATGAAAAAAGTCATATTTTTGGAAAATAATTGAGTGCGGGTTATCTGCAAAGTGCGGGTTATGTGATGTATTAAAATGAGAAATTGTTATTTTATTAAAATATTTTATTCAAGAGTAAATATAATATTGCAGTACATTTCATTTGTGCACCAGACTT